CTGCGATGCTTCTTCGTTGTTCCTTTCTTCTGCCTCTTCAGCTGGTCCTGCAATTTCATTGGAAAAATGGAAAATTACGTGGTAGTGGTGTGTAACAAGGATGGTAAAATCGTTTTTCGAAGTTTCTTGAAATTTTTCCAATTGTAAACGCGATACACCTAATCGCTGAGACGGGAACCGCGATCATTTTCTGCGAGTCCTCGCCGTCTGGAAGCTAATTTCGACACGGCGTTTTTTTAAAAACCTTTAGTTCTTTCATTTTGCGTTACAATATTTTCTCAGCCAGTTTTCACATCCTCGTAATTTGAAAATTCTTCGCCATTTAAGTTGTACCGTAGATAATTTGGAGAGTACGGCGGATATGCTAAAGTTCCCCTGTCAAGTTCTCCGATTCTTTTACTTTTTCTTTGCAACTGCACGATGTTTTTGGCCAGCTGCACCGCCCAAGCCGCGTCAGTTGTTGACGATAAACAACATCATCGACGGTATTTCCGGGCTTTGAAAGTTCAAAACGAATAACTCCTTGCAAATTCGATCATACACACGACAACGTTTTATTTCCATGAACAATATTCGATTTTTGAGTTGTTCTCGGTGTTTCACTTGAGGGTAATCACCGTGGTTTGGTTGGATTGTCGTACATAATTCATTTTTCGTCGTCCATAACGCAGCATCGATTCAACGACGAACGTCAGACTGCGTCGACGTTATTTTCCGATAACCCTAATACGATATTCTACATATTTTCTTCTTTTTATAGGTATATTATATCAAAGAGATACAGCGAGATAGTATCGCTTGTTATTTATTCAATTTCGGCCTCATCTGCCTAGAAACGGATTTGGCTTGCAATTCCTTTCATTCGTTCTTCCATACTTATCATACCTATCGTTCCTTGATCAACTAATCGCTTATTTACCTAACCTACCTTACTCTACTTTTACTTTGTTACTATTTAAACTTGTCCTTAGTGGTGTAGTTTTTTTTATATCCATTTGTTTTCGTTAAAAGTCTGCTTGGACCGAATTCTTTCTTACGGTAAAGGCGTAGCATGACAGAGTTAACTCATTTGAACCCTCGACGACCTCCTCGGTATCTCGGACACTCGCGTTTCTTATGTATCAGCCGCATCAGTATGCGATAAAGGACCATGTACACGGTTGTTTCTGCAAATTTTCACCACAGCGAACGTATCAGATATCGTCACGCGTTTAACGACGTATCAGCATAACACGATATACGTAACGATGGACAGCCGAAACGTTTGAGACAAGAACAAGTAAAAAATGATTAGAAGTGGATGATCGAGGCAGAAGTTCGTTTAGCGAAAATGACGATAAGAGCTGCGAGAACCTTGCTGCTGCCGTCTTTAGCGAATCTAACGACGGCGGCGATAACGAGGAGGCCAGCGATTTTCATCAAGGACACAGAGAAATACTTGGTGAAAATTCTCGGCTGAAAAGACGAGTTACTCGCCTCGAAGCATAATTTTGCACAAAAGCAGCATTTGCGATACGCGTTCGGTTAATTCAGCTTCGGTAGAATTCTGCATCCTTACTTGTCTTGAAACTTTATCAATTATTTCACCACATGGTCGTCCTCGATGGTTTAGGGAATATCGAAGGTTCAAACAACCGTTCGACCAAACTCGGAATTAATTTAAAGCAAATCTTTGTTCTCTGGCAATCGGTAAAACCATACTCGATTAATCCCGACGCGTTGAAGATAAACAAAAGATAAATACCGAGTGGCACCACGCACGTAACATCACTTTAATCCTTTAATCTGTGCGATCTATTGCCCCGTGCATGGAACACCAACTGAGAATTAGCGTTCCCTCGTTGCTGGCTCACGGCTGCGGCTGAATTATTGTCTCTGTATCAGAAACCAGCCCTCGTAATGCGATTCCACCGAGAAATTACGCAGCGTGACGACGGGAATCGTTCCACCAAGACACCCCTCTACGGAAACTCTTCGCGGAAAGGGAACGGAGAAAGAATGGAAGATGACAGGAAGAGAGACGTCCGCGTTATCTCGAGCATGTCGCGCGGAAACCATGGCGAAAAACTCGACGGAAAGCGAACAGCATCCTCGCGATGGCTATGAATTATGCATGGGGCTCGACTGGCGAAACTTTACGACGTATATATACTACGACCTCGTGGAAATCCCTGAGATTCCATTAGACAGATTTTAATTAGGCGGCATTTTATCGACTCGCCACTGTACTCTTTTCCTCCTCGCCGAAGGAGACGGTTTTATATGCTTTTCTTCGAAAATGCTGCGTGAATTTGTGAAACGTACTACTCTTCGTTTAATCTATTTGTAAATTATGATAACCGACGGTTGGAAACGGTTGTGATATCGATTTCAGCTCTTAAAAAGTGTAAATTCGTTGTTCTCGATGATTGTTATACGAAATCGAAGTTTTCATCTCGTTTGTAGTTTCCACGTCGCTCTTATATCGTTTCGAAATTATAATTTTAGCTTTAAGTCGGTTTCTAAGTAGCTCTACACTCGATTTTATGTATCGCTTTTATTATCCATAATTCTAATCTGAATAATTAACCTATTATCATTTAAATCAATCATTGTAAAAATTAATAAAAATATAATTATTACGTTACGTACTTCGTTAAATTTCGTGTTCCCATTATCGGCTGAATCACAGTGGCTTTTAGTTTGAAACAATGGAAACTGTTTCGTAACGTAATAAAAAACCCTACCATATTATGGAGATTCGTATTTCAAGATAATCGTAGCTAATTTCATCGGGGCGCAAACGTTGGCGTAGTACCGCGTAACATTTTTTACCTTCTGTTTGGAAAAGGGGTTGGCAAGTGGCGCCACGAGGGACATTCGCTGTTTTGTCAGTGTTTCGCGGAGCAGGTGTCCAGCGCAGCTACTATCCGCAAACAGAAAAACACAGCAACATACCGGGGGTGAGTTTTTACGAAACGACCAAAGTTGGAAAAACTCGGGTAAAAATTGAACGAGCAGTCTTCTCGTGAATTCGACGAACGAGCTTCCTCGTGGTTTATGGAACGTAAACAACACGGGGAGAAACGACAGTCAGACACTGGAACGAGGGATAAAGTGGCACAAGATCGGCCGTTTTCCGCTTCCAGTTTGTATTTATTACCCAGAGCTCGATACGAGTACAGCGATTCTTATTTTTCTTTCTCGATGGACGAGACCCTCGCGGACAAGGGTTGGAAAATGTTTATGCCATCGCGAGGCAACACCTGGTTGCTAGGGATTGTTTATCAAGACGACGTACGTATTCTCGATGGTTCGTCGATTGGCGGCTGAAAACCACAATAATTCATTCTAAGGGCAGAGGGATACCAGAATTTTTGAAGACTCCATTCTTACGAAGATTTCGTACTTGTTTGATTTTTCGAAATCGCGATGTTCTCGCGAGTAAACTGATAAAAGAATTGCATTTGGAAAACAGGTTTGAAATTTCATATGCACACTTCGAGCAATTTAAACAAACCGATATTCCAAATATGCCGCAATTTCTCTATCAGAAAACAGAGCTACGTAAAAACAAATTGTTCATTGCTATCAGATATAGAAATTATGCAGTGTGTCTCGACGTTTCTCCGACATGGTGCGATGATAGTAAATAGCCGAAGCTTTGCGAAAGAGTGATAAGGCGCCGAGTTAAGGCAGTCTCCGTAAAAAGATAAATTGTTGCTCCGAAAGAAATACACGGTAACACGGAAGAAAGTACCTAGCTACGCGAACTTTCGCTTTTCGATCCTCCCACGCGTGTCTCCCTCTGTTTCTTGCCTTAAACTCAAGCGAACTGCAAACTTCCATCAGGCAGGGATCTTCGATCCCGTCGATGTGCCTCGGCTTGTTTCTCGAACGTTCTCGCATGACGAGAAGTCGTCGTGACACGCGATAAGAGGACGTCGTAGGCAAAGTGTTTCTCGAGTCGAAGGGGCTGCAGACACGAGAGGGAAGCTCGCGGGGGTCGAAGAAAAGCGAAGAAAGCGAAAACGAAAGAGAAAGAGAGAGAGAGAGAGAGATTCGACGTCAGCAGATCGAAGGTTCCGTTCTCCTGCGACGGCTGCGGGTATTAGAAAAGGCCGAGAGGAAAAAGAACGGGGAACGAACGATTCGGCTGCATACAAGCCTCGAATAATATTCGAATATTGAAGGCGGAACGCGAACACCGGCGCGCTCGTAAACCCACGCGGATATGAATGCGGATGGCTCAATTTTCCGTGGCTGCCGCGCTAACATCCAAGACGTGACGGCTTTGTCGACCAACTTTTTCCTCCTCTGTTTCTCTACAGTTCGTTCCCTGAGAACGCGGTGTCTTGGAAAACGAGCTGAAAATTATTACGCCAAGCGACGTAGGGCACGAGGTAGTTGATACGCTTTTACGAGAACACGGTCTACGGATGATTAGATGGTTTCGCGGTAACATAGTCGGGGACGGAATTACTATAATCCGCGTCGTTTGTCTTACTACTGATAGATTTTGCGAATCTAGACGACAGAATGGGCGTGGTTAGTATAAAAAAAATTCCTTTCTCCTTCGCGATTCCGGTAAATTTTTGTACGTGTCATCTAGTCAGACAAACTTAAGTCGTTTGGTCCAATTTTAAAAAAAGTTATTTTCTTTTGAAGGACGTTCGGATACGTCCGCGGGGGCGAAGGGCGTACAGAAACAAGCCGAGTCATTCTATACCTTGGCATATAAGAAGACGTCTTTCCATTTCTCTTAACAAACTCCGTGAAACATTATTACCGGAATCTTCACGAAAGACCTTCTAGAACGACGAATCACAGTGGCGGAATATTCCATATACCCTCTCATCGATCCCTGCACCCTAAAAGAGAAAAGTATCCGCAAGAGAAGCTTCTCTCCTCTCGATTCTCTTTCGGAGTAGTTGGTGCGTGTCGCATTGTACCGGTGGATGTTTTCCAGGGGTCTGCCGCGTCCTGAGACTTCCATCAACTGTCCCAGCGACCCGGGGAGGATGTTGGATTCGGAGGGTAGCGCGGAGAGCGTCCGCGGTTCGGAGAATTCGACGGCGCGCGAGGAAACGATCGTCACGCTGCCGAATCGGCAGAATGCGGACGGTGACAAGCTCGAGGAATTCGAGAAGCTGCTTCAAACGATTTTACCTTCTCGCACACCGTCGCAGGAGGAGGAGGAAACGGAAGAGAACGAGATCGAGAAGAAGATAGGTTCGTCCTTGTTCGCTACGGTGTCTGCAACGTGTGCCGATTTTGGTACACGCCGAAACTTATTTACAGGCCAAGCGACATTCTAATACTCGTACAATACGTATAATAGGCGTAGAAACGTGAAAGAACGAACGAAGTTTCAGTACAAATTGCTCCGAGTCAGGTAATCTGACTAATCTAAACGAAGCTCAACTGTCTCAGAGAAAAAGAAAAGATTACGAAATAAAGTCAACGAATGGAATATCCGGATATAAACTTAAATGTAATTTGCGTATTTTACAGGATGTTTGGTAAAAATTCGTTGCCGGTGCGTAGAACAAGATACGTTTAATTTGGTGTTTTTGCTCGAAAGAGACTGAAAAAGGCTGAGAAAGGGCATCGTAATGCACAGAGGACTCTGCCGAGGGCTAACTCTGACCCCTTAATGCCGACAGGGGCTAAAACAAAGCCGTCCCGCTCCAATTATCGTTTCATTTTTTTTTCCTCGAGAAAGCTTCCGAGTAAGCCACAAAACGCCAAGTTCGTTCTGAAAAAAGTCTTTCTGCGCGAGCATCCAACCCTTCTTACTTCCCACCCTTTAGCGTAAAACCTACCAGAATTTACGATTACAAAAAGTACAGCGGTTTGTAACTAAAAGGCACAAGTTTCGAGACTTGTGCACGTATTTGCGCTTCTTAGGATTCGCTAAAGCGATAAGATCAGGATTAAAGCAACGTAGCGCTAAAAAAGAGCCTCCTCTTATCGTATCACTTTCCAGCAAGCATCCTGACCATTTTTCCTGCAGCTGGAATACTGCTTAGAATAGAAATCCAAGAGGGATATTTAGGTTGTGCATAGGTAGGGGTTAGGTTGGGCTTAGGTTCGTTATATAGCCGGAGATGGGCTGACGTTATGACGACGACTCTTGACGTAGTCGGGTTTTAGAAGATACGCGAAGAGAAAGAAGGGAGGTTCGTCTATGCTGGATCCCCCTTGTTCCGAGGAACACTGGCTCGTTCTTTTAAAAGGTAGTACGATGAGAAGGGACGAAGAAAAAGGGCGAGGGCCAAGGGATGCAGTTTCGCAGTGGAAACTCAGGTAACCTGTTGAGAGGGCCTGGAGTAGGCGAAAATGGAGAGCTTGATGCAGCTTAACTTGGAGAATTTCCCAGACGCTCGCCAAGGGCATTTGCAGGGAAAGTGGCTGGCTGGCTGGTTGGTTGGCAGTCGGGGCGCTTTCCGACAGCGAAGAAATTTCTCCGGCCCCGGGGATTAAGTTCCGCCTCGCGGCTGAAACGTCTCACCAGCTTTCGTCTTTTATCTCCCCAGCCCACGGTTTCTATTCTTATTCGGCCGCTTTCACGGCGAGCACGCGGCAACTGGATGGTAACGCGAACTTTAATGATCTTTTTCGTGGCCGGACAGAGCCGCCGGAAATTAGCGACCGGTAGAACTCGCTCGCCGGGAGCTCTTCGCTTTTGTATTCTTTTCTCGTCGTAATCGTTGTCGACGTCGTCGTGAACTCCAACGACTCGGAGGAAAATGGACAGAAAGATATTTTTCCCAACTCTTACTCGTCCGCGTTCGCGTTCCAATATCACCGGAGAAAGACACAAGAATATTAGACGACGATCTTCGTCAGTTTTTCCACTTTAACGCACCATCAGCTACGTTATAAATTTGTTTGTAGCGTGCATGATACCGAATAACGATAAATACGATGGTAATATTATTATCAAAACTGATGTAAACGATAACGAAACGATGCGACAGATACAGTGGAGAAAAGTATAGATTTTATTATATGAAATTGACGAGATTCTTATTGTAATAATCTCTTCGGTTTTATTCGAGAAGCTCTTAAGGGAGTGGAATTACTTGGCAATGTTTTTCTCTAACGTTTCGTGGATTCTTGATAGATAGTTCGAACGAGAATCCGTTGTTTTTCTTTCCTGTTAATCTTGCTCGCCGAATCGTCGATTTGGGGAAAGCACGATGGTCTCTGGAGATCGCTCGAAGCGGCCGGACGAAACATTAACTCCATCAGGGGTAGAAAAATTATTCCACGGAAGAAAGCCGCGGGCAGTCTGGCCGTGGCGTACGCGAGCAGAATTAACGATCGTCGCGGAAATCGAAATATTAACTGGACGTGACAGCGGTCGCCCTCCGGTGCCGCAGTAGAATGGGACGCGCTTGATCAGACATCGTTCAGTTTCGAATATTTCGCGCGTCATTCTTTCTCTTTCTCTAAACTCCATGTATCGATATACTTTTACTAACAGGAGAGTCTCTTTATTCTTTACAAAACGAAGCTGATAACAAACGACTCTATATAATATTTAATATAATAAATATATAAGAATCTTTATATTTTTGTCTTTGTATCTGTATCTGAGTGATTCTACACAAGTGGGAATTTTTGTGGCTCCCGCTTTTTAACACACTAGCGATACCAGCATGTTCTTGTTATACCAAGAAGCTTGTTAGGATTCGTACGTTAAACGAAAAAGCGTATGGGCAAGATCATTGTCGCTTATGCAGAGTGGTTCGTCTCTGTAACACGTACACATGCATAGTGGCTAGAAAATGTATTCGCACACTATTGTACTTGTCATAACATTCGTATACTTGGTAATGAAGTCGTAATGGTAATGCGGAGGCTTTCTTCGAACAACGTCACGACGATGTGCAAGGCTAACGATAACCTGTTTAATTACGATACACCGAGTAGATTTAACAGGAGGAAGGTAACGGTGCGATGCGAATGTTTTCCGAGGGAACCGCAGCTGTTGCCAAATTCGAGTCGTCGCGGCGAGTTCTTGGCCTCTCGATGGCCCAGTCCTAAATTTCCTGCTGAATTTCCGTGGAAACCGAAACGCCGTTGTCCCGCGTGGTGTTCCAAATTAAACTCATAAAACGTCCGGGTCCGACACGAACGTTCGGAACCCGGTCCCGGAATTATACGACGCGATATCAACGTAAATCTTGGAAACATGATTCCGTGGCTACCTTGGAACACGCAGACACTGCATTTAATCATGGTTTAGTTACTTACGAGCGATTCTTTCCTACTTGAAAAACTTGTTCTCGAGTTTCGTTTAATTTCCCTGGTTAATTTGTTTGGTTTAAATATCGCTCGATATTAACCGAAAGTAACATCAAGGTTGTAGAACAACGTGACAAAACGATAAAAGAAACTAAAGTAACCATACCTTTGCTATTGCTAGGCAATTATACAAAATCTATAATTTTATTTCAAACAATTATGTTTGTGCAATTATGTTACACGAAACTACAATATAATTCCATTCTGATCGTAGTACAGTCGCGTATTATTATAGTTCTAATGAAATTTCAAAATGTTTTATATATAATATAGTAAAAGCGATATGAACACAAAAGTTTTGTACGACAAGCGTCGCAACACTTTTGTATTTTGGTTTTCGATCAGGGATAGTTGAGAACTTCTTAAAGCTTGGAATCTGGTTTAGACAGCGCCCCCGTTTAGTTAGAACCCCGTAGCCACAGCATCGATTAATACAAACTTTAATTAAACGTCCCCCGCGGAAACGTTCCGGCGCGCCTTCGAACGTGCATTCCGTGCAATTTCCGGCGCGATGGTGTCAGACTCGCGCGCATGATTAAAATAATAAATTGCCAGCTCGCGTTTTCGCTGGAAATTAGCAGCACATCGGCCGGAAGGCCGCGACACTGGCCGTTTCTCGGCCCGCAAACGACGATACTTTGAATTATAAATGGCAACGAGGGCGTTGCCATTCGCTTCGATGTAAGGAAATTCTTGTGCTAGTACGGAGGATGAGAGATTTTAACGGAGCCTATGCTCTGCGTCGTCTCTGGCTACCAGCCAATTCGATCTCACGGTCTGCCTCGTTTTCGGAATTGCGCTATTAGATTTACGAAAAGCGTTCCCGCGACGCTTGGATTTCCAGAAGAGAGTCGCCGAATGGCCTTCTGATCGAAACCAGTTTTCCTGGCTCCGTCCTAACTGTCTTCGGAACTGGATCGGAAAATGCAATAAAAGCATCTTTACGAATAATACAAGATACGTTTAAATTTGGGATTCGAATCACACGTATTCTGAGAAATGAAAATGGACCGTACGTTCGAAAGCTTCTCGTATTGAAAATAATCTAACAAATTGAAATTTCTCGGAAACGAGGGAGGTTACCGAAGAACGTAAACTTCAGCGGAGATGGATATCAAATCGTTTTCAGTATGTGGATCGTTTATCTCGATGTACAGCGAGCCTCGGATAAGAATGACGAACGATCGGAGCGTCGTGGAACCGACAGGATTATCAATTTTTCCGAGTCAAAAGTTCATCGGATCCCCTAAGAAACTCGGGCTCTCTCCACCTTCGAAATCGTTTCCGTTACCTTCGACTTCTGCTCACCTTTTTCTATACAGGGTGTTATGAAAAGTTGGAATTAAACTTCAGGGGCATACTCTGTACACTCGTGGAAAGAGCAGAAAGCACTTTGCCACATTTCTTCGTAGAATCGTTATTTAAACAATGTTAAAAGTAAAACTCAGTGGAATAACTCTATACGCACACGAATGCTGTAACGATAAAGCGGCAAGATACTTGAAAGTCGAATGGTGCCACTATGGCGACGTTAAATATTTATTGTTTCGACTAGCTGGCAGAGTCAGCAGAAAAATACGCCGGCTGCAAAAACTTGACGATTATTGCGCACCCTTAAAGCTTAACCCCAACTTCTTGAAGCATTCTATATAAAAATATTATGAAACCTTGCGCCATTCGAAGAAGAAAGAACGTCGTTGTGACTTTGGACGTCAGACGCGTATATCGTGAAACGAGGCATGCGTGAAAAATGACACGGGCTTGAAAAGCTCCCTAAATAAGAAATCGTGGCCGCGTCCGCTGGAACCCTTCGAAGTGAGAGCGAAAATAGCCGCGGGACTCGCGGCCGATCATCAATTTTCAGCGTGTCAGCGCGCAGCAAAAAGGGCGTCTCGAGAGTCCGGAATCCTCGACTTCCGGCTCGCAGTTGCTCGCTCGCGATTCTCCGCGTTTTGCACCGCGATAAAAGAAGCCGTGCAGTGGATGACGAATGGCGAGCAACCAGGACAAATTTCGCCCTGGGGTAGATAACGTCCGAAATCATTACCGACACCCCGTGCAAATTGTTTGGCCGACGCAGCTCGAAGGCAGTCTCTTTTTTTTCCGCCTACGCCCTACCGTTTCAATTTGGGGACGGATGTTCGAAGGAAAAGTGATTGATGATCGACCGAATACCACGCTATGCAAGGGGTAGTCTTCTAGAGAGTATGAATTGATTAAGAGAATGCTGTTGATTCTCCGAAACGCGGCTGTGGATTGATCGTTCGAACGAAGGGTGACACGGTTTGATTATGTATTAAGGAGCAAACGATTCTTGGATCACCTGTTGAGGGATTACGAGTCTAGTGGACGAATTAGGCATGATAAACGTTTCGAATGAGTTTTAACGAGTCGACATTTCTAGTGCCACTGAACTTTCGTATCCGTATCGCTATCCATACGATAGAACGATATATCGTTAAATCGTAATCCAGGTAACTAAGTGCTCGAATACTTTTTCGAGAAATTTTTTTAAACACGTACTTTCAGATTGGTTTCAAACTTGTTGATTAACGTAATCGCGATAGTCGAGTCTCGCAAGGACGATGAAATCTCGAAATCTTTCGTACAACGCACGCGATATATTCGTAAAAGGTGTCTATAAGCGTACGAATACTGTGACGAGCGTGTGTATACGAGAGAATTTATTTAACTTCGTTAACTTGCATGTAACTTCGATGTTCCGAACGTCGACTAATCAGCTCTTATTGAAGAAACTGAGAGATCGAAGAAACTCCGCCCCTCTCGCGTCACATCTAATTTACACCCTATAATAGAGTATTCAACGAAGATGAAATTCGTACAGCTACGAAAATTTTCATCTCTTCTCTCCGCTCATTCGAACGAAGGGTGAGCGTTCACGAAATGAAAGGCACACCCTCCTCTTTGCGAGCAGCGTGCATGGGTCAAATTTTTCAAGTTATACGCGCGGTTCGTTGGTGCGTGTGGAAGCCGTTCCGGAGATGCTCGAGCAGCGGAAAATCTGCTGGCTTTCGGGAAACGGCAGACGGCTAATCCGTCGAGAGAAATTAGTTCTGACGTTTGATCGGGGATACTCGGGACTCTTGTCGAGCCTCTTGTACGTTCGATGGCCAGATGTTCTCGCAAGCTGCTCCATTTTTTCCATTTTTCTATAGCTTTTTGGCAGTTTTCGATCGTATTGTGCAGGGTGCAACTGAACAATGGCAGCAATACGTATACGTATATTACGTGTACTTGATCGATAAGCCGATTAGAGGACGAAACGAACGTCCCTTTTCCAAGAACTCGCGTTATCAACGTTGCGTTCTAAATCCCCCTGCCAGCAAATGGCACCGCTTTTACTGGCTGAAATCCAAGGACAAACAGCTGCAGTGCCTTTCTGCGCCTTCCTATTTTTACGTCGGCGCAATTTCCTCGTTTTTACGACCGATCGATCGAACTGATCGGGCCAATTTGTCTCTTGCATTGTAAGCGACGCGATCAATCGACGACATCTTTTACTTCATCGAAACTCACCACCGTGATGTAGAAAGCGGCATCCTACGCTGCCATTTTCTAATCGTAAGCCTCTCTGGCAATTACAATCTACGATTTCACTCACAATCCGCTTGTTCGATCGAAGAACAGGTTGCACGTAGATTCGTCTTCCAATGAATCGCATTCATCACTTTTGTCCATAATTTTACACACGCTCGTCAACCTACCAACGTCGGAAACAAATATAAAACGTTCGATAAAAGAATCGAGTTAACGTACAAAAAACTAGAGGTAATGTCGAAAACTTCGAAGAAACAAAATTCGCAAGAAATATACTAAATCTTCAAACGATAATTAAATACCACAATCGCTCGAAAAATTCTTCTAAACTGTATTATGTCACACAAGGAAACGTTTGGTCGATTCATCCGTGGACGAGGAGCTTCAACATCCCAAATCAGTATCACTGATCGTCGACATACTTAAAAAGCTATTTGTCGTATTTTATCACCTGCATATTCTCCACAGTAAGCCACGTCGAAAGTGAAACGATCTCGCGTCAAAGTGCTCGATCGAAAGTTTACAACGAACGTAATCCGTGGACGCGAAACTCTGACTAACGTCCCCAGCGAGTACGAAAGAGTAAAATGGTACCTGCCAGTACGCGAAAGGCGGTATCGCGTGCGATGTCAGTCGTTCTCGAGAATATTCCGTGCGTCCCGTGACAATAGGTAGGCAACGAAGGCATAGGGTCGTCTAAAAGACACGAGCCTCCAATGCCAGAATGTAGTTCCGTTCGGTTCAGTCGGTGCCTGGTCTCTTGACCTGCTTGCACGACGGCCACCAAACGATTGGCATTTTTACCCCGCGTCCACCACTCCCCCTTTCGTGGTCACGTCAGCCTTTTACATATTTTCCATCCTTTGAGATACGCCAGCATTGTGTTACGCTTGCTTGGTCGCGTCACGAGAGTCCTAGCGTAGTTCTTTGAAGAGGAAATCCTGGTTGTCTGTTGTTGGAAGTTAAGCCAACGTTCTTTTCAAATCCTCACGTTTCGTACGATTTAATGTCTTTGGTAAATCAATTTCTCGATGATGAAGACGCGAACTAGCGAATAAAAGAGTAATATCTTACGTCAAGATTTCAAATCTACAGCTGAATTCCAATCGGATTAAAAATTTTCGACCTAAATATATCAATTGAGAAAATAGTAAATGCAATAAATATAAAAATAACATCTTACGTTGAGATCTAAAATCCCGAATCTAAACGTATAAACTGAGAATCTAAATAACTTATGCGAAATTTGTATAAGTAGAAATGGCTACTCCCGATGGACCGGCGGATTTTCGTTTGGATTACATCGGTGGTTTCGTGCAGAAGTCGCTGAAACTGAAGCCGGAGAAGTGGGCCAGATTACTCCTCACGGAGGAATACAGAAACGCTGTGCTGGATTTTGTTGATAATCCTCTGCCAGCTGCTCTTTTTGTAGCTTTGACACCGAACGCACAATTGGTGGCTTCAACCTCGTTCCCTATACCATGTCAGAGAACCAAAGGTGAGTACGATAATGAAAACTTTCCAAAATATCCGCCTAAAGCAAAATGTTGAAAATTGTATTCACGTTATATTCATATTCATCACGTTATTTATATCTATATTCAGGTATTTACGTCGTGAAGATAGAACAGGCGCCATTACCCAAGGAGAAAGAAGTTTGTTCATCGATGCTGATATTAGGGGATCTGTCGTCTCGAGTCGTCGATCAATTAGCTACTTTGGTGGACAATTTATTCGCGCCCCTGTTGAGCAAAGCAGAGAATCACAAGGATTTGCCTGACGTCGCGATTCAGGACATCTGTAGACACGTTCATTCTCTTCGCGGTACTCTGTACCAAGTAAACTTTCCTTCTCTTTTGTAAAGATTTATTATAGTTTTCATACGCGTGTTCTCAGTTTATACAGGGTGTCCCCGATTTAAAGATTCGGGAGCGTGTAGAACATGGATAAGATTAATTCATTTCTGTTTCATTTTGGAGAAAATCAGGAAGAAAGAACAAGGGACATGCTGTATATTTAGATTCGAGATGGTAGATTCAACAATGGTGTTGGCAGTACGAAATTGTACGAATGTTTTCCGTCGAAATACAGGTGAAAGGCCAGGTAAACGGCAGAACGGTGCTCCCAATGCCAGCCGGAATGGAGAGGGCAACGGAAGTGGAGAAGCTGGTGCGAACAGAAGGCCCCCAAGCTGTCGATCTGTATTTGAAGAGCGCCATCGAGGGTGTCGTGATAAAGTGGGCCTACTTGGTGAACGACGTTGTCACTCAGGAATCTGGCGCAGCTTTTGAGAATGGTCAAAATCCCACCCCCTATGTCGAGCTTGACTATTGGTCCACGAGACTAGCTAATTTAAGGTAGAGGATATCGAGCATCCATCTATGGCAATGTTTTCGTCGTTCCGGCATTTATTTATTTCTGATAAAAACGTCGAAAATAAGTATTTTTCCTATCAGACACAAAAAATGTAAGAAAGCTGAGCGGTAGGGTAACAATATTCTCCAAGTCTAACAAATTACAGTATCCAAAGGTTAATTATTATAGAAGAAGGATCGTTTTCCAGATATATCTACGATCAATTGCGAGAGGATCGCGTGAAGAAAATGGCGAGCATTTTGGAAACGACAGACAGCGCCTATTTCCCCTGCTTTCGCACCCTTTTCGATAACGTGGTATCCTCGATGGCAGAGGCGAAAGAGATATCTCTGTATCTATCTCCATTGGCCAAGTGTTTCAAAGCGGTCGAAGAGGTCGACTTCTCCGAGGCTAAGCCGCTAATGGCCACGCTGATACACTCGGTCGGATTAGCCTGGTCGAAATCTAGCTACTATCAGAGCTCCACCAAGGTGATCATCATGTTTCGACAGATTTCCAACCTGTTGATACAGGAGGCTCGTCGATTCCTCGACCCAACCTCCATTTTCCAGAGCGACGTTGACGAGGCTTTACAGCGTGTGCAAATATCTCGAGGTTAGAATCGATCAGAAGATCGTTCTCATCATTCGAGCACTATCTTTCTATGGCGATACCATTTCTTCAACTTCTAAGCCTCTTTTAATTTTACTTCTAACGTTGTTCCTAATTAATTTTTCGTCTCTTTCGGAGACTTTGTAGATCAAAAGCATTACACGTTCTTTCTTGCAGGCGTCTTGGAAGAGTTCAAACGACAATTCGAACTTAGGAAAGACATGCCAGCGATGAAACCCGATGCACCACCGTGGACCTTCAATTCCAGCGCCGTTTTCGCTCGCCTGGATGCTTTCTTGAAACGACTGAGCGATATCGAGTGGCTATTTAACACCGTGATGGAATTTTCCAAGCTGGAAAAGATAGAAATCGGCGGGATTCTCGGCCGATCCCTCAGCACCAGGATCGTCAACGTGTACAAAGAGTTCCAGCAGCTGTTCGTTTCTTTCACGGTGCGGGCAAACGACGCGCTCGAGCCAGACGACGAATCTTTCACCGTAGACTGTGCCAAGTTCAACGAGTCCATCACCGATCTCGATTGTAAATTGGCGGCCATTCTTTGCCAGGCTTTCGACGATTGCGGCAACCTCGAGAGCGTTTTCAAGGTACCGTATCTGGTAGACTTGGACAATTGTGGTAGGATAAGTGGCGGAAAAACGAGCCATTTTTCAAAAAACTACAATTCTTCTATCGATCTGCTTTCACAGTGTAATAAAACGAAGAATTCGAAATAAACAAATTCCAAAAATAACGATCTTCGAAATTTCCTCAGTTTCTAGATGCGACAGACGCGTAACTTCAACATAAACATAAAAACAAATATATTTTATAACAAATAAAAATTAATTTTTGTACGATAATTTTAACAACTAAAATTCTTACAAGTTCTTCGTTTCAGTTGATAAATATCGTTGGAACGGTGCTAGACAGGCCAATGATAAGCAAACAGTTCGCAAATCGCTACACCAGAATTTTGGATCTATTGAACGTCGAGCTGACTGTAGTCGAAGTTCTGTTTAATCGTGGCACTAGAGGCGCTCTAATTAATCTTCCACCTTTAGCCGCGGCTCTGACATTTATCACCATGCTCAGACAACGCATCGATCTTCCCGTTCAATCTTTCAAAGCTATTCAACATCCGTAAGTTGTTTAAATAGAGATTTATATTTGATAGAACAATTTAATTACAAAATAATTATACCGATCATAGAATAGTGAACAGCGAAGAGGGCCAGAATATAGAAAAACGTTATGAAAGGCTTATCCAAATCTTTAAGGATAAGGAGACTGAATTGTTCACGGAATGGGCACGAACCGTACCTGACGCAGTCGATATTGGACTGAATCGCAATATTCTCTATCGCGAGAAGGATTCCACGTTACTGCTCAACTTTGATCCCCAGCTTTTGTGTGTTTTAAAGGAAGTGAACTATCTGAAGCAAATGTCTCGATCAGACATTCCCGAGGAGGCAATAAAGGTATCTATCCACTTGACGTTTTTCCTATGTATCCCTACACGTATACTACCACAGCAAAATTTAGGCAAAACCTGATTTAACTGCACAATGACATTGTTACAGCCGTTGCGTGCAACGCAGTGTAACGTGGCATAATAAAATTGCTATTTGGAAAAATTAAAGAATTGGCACGTGTAAAAGAGAAACATTTGGGAGCAGTTTTGTCGTTCAGCTCTTTTCGCTGTCAATGTATAGATAAGAGAGACTGTTAATTAGTAATTCATTCTTGCGATAATAATTGAAATCGATAAACACTTGGACGAACCGTGCAATTAATTGATAATACTACAAATAAAATTCGCCAATAAGTGTGACAAGTTAAGGTGGTTTAATAGTCTTCGATATGTAGGTGTCGGAAAACGTCGAAACGTTCCGAAAGTTCCGCACACTGCTAGCAGCCACGGTGTGTTCGTACAACAACGTGTGCAAGACGACCAGGCGAGTGGAGTTGCAGCTGATCGAGAAGGAGATAACTAGGATCGATTCGTTGGTGTCTCGAGGAGAAACAGAATTATGCTGGAAGTCGGACGGCGTTCTGGAGTACATCGTGGAATTGGGTGAACTCGTGGAGGGGCTCTGGAAGCGAATCAAATCGACCCAGACGAACGCCGAGAAGATCAAAGCGGTGTTGGACGCCTGGACGAGGACGCCTCTCATCGAGAGGAAGGATCGTCGTAAGGACGCTTTATTGTCGTTCGACGAGCGGCCAGAAAAAGTATCAAGACGTTACGGCGAGGTCGAGAGGGCTGCCGAACAGATTCATTCGTTGTTGGAAGAGAACAGGCTGCTTTTTCAAGTTTCCGACGAAATGGAGGAACCGTGGCAAAAATACGTAGATTACATCGATAGGATCGTGATGGAGTCCCTTCGAAGGGCTGTAGGGTGTTCGTTAGGTGAATGGGCCTCTTCATATTTTTCGTACAATTATTGTTTCAGGCTTTCGTTGTGGTTTCTTTAAATTCTCAAATTATGAAATCTCTTCAAATTTCCTGCTTTAGTCGATTAATGGCAATCGGCGAATCAATGGTTTGCAATTTTTAGAGCTAAATAAACTTTTACGTACAGATTTTTTATAATCGTTTCTTCTGTATTGTGATGATTCTATTTAAGTACGTTGCTTCTGATTCTGTTAACCATAAAAGAGATTTCTTTTTCCCTTTTATTCGTACCAGGGTATTTGGTAGACAATATGGATTCCAATGAAGAAACTGAGCCGCTGTTAGAAGCGAAGTTAGAACTCAGGGAACCAGATCTCTATTACGTGCCTTCATTGGAACCCGACGATCCGGATGGATTGGACCAATTAATCTTGGCACTATTGAACGATATCATAGGGATGGCTGCACTGGTGCCACGATTGAAAAGAGATGCCATAGGATACAGCGAGGAACTAGAGGAAGATCCAGATATAAAGGGGATGAAAAATGAAATTATGAATAACGTTTCGACCGCGGTGGAGGAAGCTACCGAATTCTGCAGCAACTTCGAAGGTATAAATACCACGAAATACTAATCTAAATGCATAGAATTCGCGTAATGTGGAAAAAATACATAAAATATAGTAAAATGCAGGCTAATAGCTAATAACGATAATTTACTAATAGCAATACGCGTTGTACATCTTCAAACCTTCCACAAACGTATAAAAATCTACTGCCTACGAATTATAATAGAATCAACGAACATCAGAGGATGTTTCTACGCTTGGTCTACTCTATGATCCACCCTCGTTCTTTGTCGTCTTATTTTATCAGGATACGCCTATCTCTGGTTGGACGATAGAGACATGGTGATGCAACAGTTTCTCGAGTATAGCCGACAATTGACGATGGAGGAAATGGAGATGGTGGCCGTGCAGGATCCCAAGGGGCCGACACGGTCACCGCCGAAAATGGAGCAATTCCGCGAGCAAATCGACCTTTACGAGGGCCTCTATCTCGAGATCGAGGAAATGGAACCATCGAAAGTGTTTTGTGGCTGGTTCAGGGTAAACCTCAGACCCTTCAGACAGTCGGTGCTGAACATGGTCTGCAAATGGTCCAGCATGTTCAAGAGACATCTGGTCGATCGCGTTACCAGCAGCCTCTCGGATTTGGGATCGTTTATAAGGTGTTTTCTCTTACGAGTTACCATTCTTTATACGAGCAAACGAAGAACGATTTCAACTGTTTTGTAGATCGATAGCTATGTTGGTAATCACGATATTCGTTGCACGTTCGATAATCTCGGGCTACTTGCGCACTTGGCTACTTTGATTTGTCTCTATAGATCGTCCTCTTTCCTTCGATCAGACGTAGAAAGAACGTCTGGCTTTCATATTTTTCTGATATTGAGAAATTTCCCGAAAGAGTAAAAATGGCTACCCAGAGAGCCAATATAAGGAAAAAGGAAGGAGCTGCTTTTCGATGAATTCTTCAATGTATATTTTATTCATAGACGAGCAGACGAGGGTTTGCTCCAACCAATACAACCAGGTGACTACGTCGGACTCGTTAGCGTGATGGGTTATCTCTTGCAAGTGAAAGAAAGGCAACCGACTACGGATGAAATGTTCCAGCCGTTGGAAGAGACGATCGAATTGTTGAAATTTTACGATCAGGATATCCCAGAGGAAGTAAACGTTCTGCTTCAAGAACTGCCCGAGCAATGGTCCAATACGAAGAAACTGGCGCTTATGGTTAAACAGCAAGTGGCACCCCTGCAAGCAGGTACATACATCTACATTCGTAGATATTAGGACAGCTGCTAATTTTGTACGAAATAAAACAGGTGAAGTGTCCAGAATACGAGGACGAATCTCCGCGTTCGACACGACCATAACTCACTACCGCGAAGCTTTTCGGCGCTACAGCTTCTTCAAACACGATTGTTCGAATCCTTACGAACTATTAGACGAAGGACACAAAGAGATTCTGATGTTGGAACGTCAAATGAAAGACATCCAAGAGTCTGCATCGTTGTTCGAAGTTATGGTGCCAGAATTCAAAGTGTTGAAGCAATGCAGAAGAGAGTTGAAGATGTTGAAGCAACTATGGGACTACGTGAATATCGTTAGAAGCTGTATAGAAGGATGGAAGACTACGCCTTGGAGAAAAATCGACGTAGAGAACATGGACATCGAGTGCAAGAAATTTTCCAAGGAGATACGAGGTTGGTGACACGATATTAACTCTACCGTGTTCTTTCAGTTGCATTTTTACCACGTTAAAAGATATCTCGTGTTTGTGCAAAATATGGAAAAATTGTTGTCGGCACGCCTGATTTTTTATTTCTATTTTGCGTTGAACGTTCTCTCGAAATATTAGAAACCCGTGTCGTTTGTTACTAAAACGAGTAAGCTGTCTTCAAACGTGTTTTTAATATACTAATTGCAATTAGCCCTGGACAAGGAAATGAGATCGTGGGACACTTTCGTATCGTTGGAGGCAACCGTGAAGAATATGTTGACGTCCTTGAGGGCCGTAGCAGAACTCCAGAATCCAGCTATAAGGGAAAGACATTGGAGGCAATTAATGAATAGCACCAAGGTATCGGCGGAGGTTAAAAAACGAAGAATAGGTTTACGAAAAGGATAGAAAATGATTTAGATACGTTTTATATTACGTTTTACACGATATTCAATTTTTATGAAAGACTTTACATATATATATTTTTTGTAAGAATTTTTTATATCATTGTACATGAAAAAGTTTTTGATGAATTTTATACGAAAAATAGTTATACATAAGGATTCAGTTTAGCATATTTTTACAAAAGTTCACCAAGATGTTTAGAGTTAGTTGCACCGCTGTATATACGCTATCGGTGTTGCAGAAACTGGGCGACATGACTCCAGAAATGACCGTAAGTCCACTGTAAATACTGGCACTTTGTTCTCTAAATAATTATTTCCAAAATTTTTAAGCACGAATATTTAAACCACCGTCACGATTCATCAATAAATGCATTATTAGTTACTCATCAGTGCATGTGTCACGTATGTATGTGATCAAATAATTTGTACCATATTTTTATCATCGTTTTTCGTTCGTTCTATGTACCAGTCACTGTATATATTTCATCCAATAAATTGATTTTGCATTCGAAACGTTTAATTCTTCGTACACCTGGCTTTACGTTTATTTCTTCAAATTGTTCGTCAATGCTCACATTGCATAAATTTCAAATACATTCGCCATAATATATAATGTTAAACCATACATGATTCGTAATGATGCACGATATTCATAATTATAATGCTACGTATTTAGAGACATAGCCGGTAAAGACGAATGCGTTTAGGTACGATTCGTTATGGACGAGTCTACCACGTTGGCCGATCTTCTGGAGCTAAATCTTCATGAGTGCGAGGAAGAAGTGAAGAACATCGTGGACAAAGCCGTGAAAGAAATGTCTATGGAAAAGTACATGAGAGAATTGAACGCCACCTGGTCGAAAATGGAATTCGAGAAAGAAATTCACGCTAGAACTGGCGCTACCCTAATAAGAGCCAGCGAGGAATTGATCGAAACGTTGGAAGAGAACCAGGTACTTTCTACACGGATCGCTTGTTACGCACTCGAGCACGAATGTTGCAAGAATCGCAGAAATTTAGTGACTTTTGAACAAATTACAGAACTGATTTTTATCGCACTCGTCAGTTAGATTTGCACAATGTGATTCGTTTTACGTAGACTAAACCAGCAGAAATCGTACTTGGTGAAAATTTAAAGAGACTCAAGCGATTCGACGATGAGAGTTTGGAAAGATATTATAGCGAGTCAAGGCACAGTGCGATCGATTTTGGAGAAAATTGACTCGATTAGGGCCACCTTGTTTGCTTTTCATAGGTCCAGCTACAAAACCTTATCACTTCGAAGTTCATCGCCCACTTCCTAGAAGAAGTCTCCAGCTGGCAACGAAAGCTGAGCATCGCCGATCAAGTTACTACAATCTGGTTCGAGGTGCAACGAACCTGGATGCACCTCGAGAGCATCTTCACCTCCTCGGAAGATATAAGAAGACAATTGCCAGTGGATGCCGAGAGGTTCGATCGAATCGACAAGGAATTCAAGCAAATGACAGAGGAACTAGCGAAGACGCCAAACGTTGTGCAAGCAACGAACAGAGAAGGCCTGGTGTCTTCTCTCGATATCCTCCAAAAGGAATTGGTTCTCTGCGAGAAAGCCTTGGCAGAATATTTGGAAACGAAGCGTCTCGCGTTTCCGAGATTCTACTTCGTTTCGTCCAGCGATCTGTTGGATATTTTGTCGAATGGAAATCAGCCGGAGATCGTGGCCAAGCATCTGACAAAACTATTCGACTCCATGGCTCGATTGAAATTCGATGACGCGGCTGCTGGCTCGCCAAAACGCGTATTGGGTAAGTCGACCTCTGCAAGGAATAAAAGTTGATTTTTCGGAAATTCTTCGTCTGAGAAACGTACTGTAATATAAATTATATTATAAATTGTAAAGAGACTTTAAGTACATATTCATTCAACTCCACGTTCCTTCATAGATCCATAAGTTGGGAGATACTATTACCATAGAACGATAGCCGTGAAGCTTTTTGCCTCAAAAAATTTCGTCTGTAACTCTAAGCGTACCACTGATCTTCTCTGCACGTATCACGTGCGACTAAATATTTTTATAGTAACAAACCTTTATTAGTTTGTATTGTGTAAAAGTCTCGTATCTTTCGAACACATGGACTGCCACGCAACTATTATATATTTCGCCCTGGGAGCCATGACAAATTAAAATATACTACGCCAAAACGTTTAATTTTTCATACATTTTATGCAATGAAATACTCCTGTTTCAAGGTATGTTCGCGAAAGATGGAGAGTACGTGGAATTCGCAAACTGCGAGATGAGCTGCGAGGGCGCAGTGGAGGCATGGTTAAATCGTCTGCAACAAGCGATGAGAGTCACAATAAGATACTATTTCAGCGAGGCTGTGATAACTTACGAGGAGAAATCCCGAGAACAATGGCTGTTCGATTATCCAGCTCAAGTTTCTCTCTGTGGAACGCAAATTTGGTGGACGACTGAGGTGAACATCGCGTTCGCCAGACTGGAAGAGGGTTACGATAATTCTCTGAAAGACTATCTAAAGAAACAGATCTCTCAATTAAGTACACTGATCACGCTATTGATCGGAGAGCTAACGAAACAGGAGAGACAAAAGGTGATGACGATCTGCACTATCGATGTACATTCTCGAGACGTGGTGGCGAAGCTAGTGCAGTCCAAGGTGGAGACGTCGCAGGCGTTCCAATGGCAGAGTCAACTTCGCCATCGTTGGGACGAAAAGGAGAAGGATTGCTTTGCTAATATTTGCGACGCGCAGTTTAAATACTCTCACGAATACTTGGGGAATACTCCCAGGTCCGATGGTTCTTCGTCTCCTCTCCTTTGCATCTCTGTTAATTTTCGCAGTAGGGATTATGGAATCTAGCGACTGGTTCATTGATACTTGCGTTAAAATATTGCTCGTTACTGTTCTTTATACGCTTCATATTTTACTCGTCGTTTGAATTTTCAATTCCTTGGATAAAATCGATTTTTCTTTATTCATCTTTAACTGAGTAATCATAGAAGTGTCTCGTCAAAGATCGATTCAGTTAATAGGCTAATATTTTCCCATAAACGCTACGAAAAGTATCATAAATGATTAAAAAAAAACAACGGTGCCTGAGAAGCTCGACTTGATCGTCTCCACATTTCTTTTTTAATCTTTTAATTAGATACATAAGTGTACGATTAGTATCTATACTTTTCAATTTACGGAGAAGATCGACGTGGCTTGTCAACAGTCCAAATAGTAACCGGACTGTAATAACATGAGAATTAATAGTTATAATTAGACAGGATTCCTTAAAAGTTTCCTAATTCTCACTAAATCATTTCTCTTCTATGCAGATTGGTCATAACACCGTTGACGGATAGATGTTACATAACCCTGACCCAATCTCTTCATTTAATAATGGGTGGTGGACCAGCAGGCCCAGCGGGCACTGGAAAAACCGAAACCACCAAAGATCTAGGCAGAGCTCTCGGCATAATGGTCTACGTGTTCAACTGTTCCGAGCAGATGGACTACAAATCCTGCGGTAACATCTATAAAGGATTAGCTCAAACTGGCGCCTGGGGTTGTTTCGACGAGTTCAACCGAATCACGGTCGAAGTACTCTCCGTAGTAGCTGTCCAAGTGAAATCGATTCAGGACGCCATTCGAGATAAGAAAGAGAAATTCAACTTCATGGGAGAAATAATCGGCCTCGAACCAACGGTTGGTATATTCATCACGATGAATCCAGGTTACGCAGGACGAACAGAATTACCGGAGAATTTAAAAGCCTTGTTTCGACCGTGTGCCATGGTAGTCCCCGATTTTGAACTTATCTGCGAGATTATGTTAGTGGCAGAGGGATTCCAGGTAGGAATCATGGTTTTGTATGTTATATTAAATAAATTCGTGTACGCGTGTATCAAAGCTACGTTTATACTTTGATCTATGCACCTTTTGTATTATTTCACGTGTATTTTGATTCGTATGATTCCTACAACTACGAACTTTGGTTAAGCTACGAATTTGCGCAAGGAAAATACGATTATGCAACATTTCCATGTTACAGATACAAAAATAAATATTAGTACCGCTCCCATTAACAAAATTTATTCGAATACACGTGTACACGTACATTAACGTGGTCTACTTCAAAAGTTTTAAAAATCTTTGAAAGGTCTCTTAGAAGATATTTCTTACACGAAGGAGAATTTTTAAATTTTTATCTTTCCAACTCTGCATATACTTCCCCTGTCCCTCTACCGTCTCACCGGTCATTCTCTAATCTTTCTATAATATTAGAAACATACGAAATAGGGTTCTCGAAATTACAGGATGCGAGAGTTCTAGCGAGAAAGTTCATTACGCTATATACTCTATGCAAGGAGTTGTTATCAAAGCAGGACCATTATGACTGGGGACTGCGCGCGATAAAGTCGGTCCTCGTGGTCGCCGGAAGTCTGAAGAGGGGAGACCCCGGCAGACCGGAGGAAGAAGTGCTCATGAGAGCTCTTCGAGACTTCAACATTCCCAAAGTGGTTTCCGACGATCTGCCTGTGTTTATGGGTTTGATAGCCGACCTGTTCCCCGCCTTGGACGTTCCCAGAAAACGCGACGTGGAATTCGAGAAGATGGTTAAACAGGCAGCAGCTGATTTGATGCTGCAACCAGAAGACGGCTTCATCCTCAAAGTCGTTCAGTTGGAGGAACTATTAGAAGTACGGCACTCGGTTTTCATCGTGGGAACTGCAGGATCTGGAAAGACTCAAGTTTGGAAGTCGTTGTTTAGAACATATCAGAACATGAAGAGGAAGCCTGTATACAATGATTTGAATCCGAAAGCTGTGACGAATGACGAATTATTTGGAATAATTAATCCAGCGACCAGAGAATGGAAGGATGGCTTGTTCTCGGTTATTATGAGAGAACAGGCTAACTTAGGCGGAGAGAATCCTAAGTGGATAGTTTTAGATGGCGATATCGATCCCATGTGGATCGAGTCATTGAACACTGTCATGGACGATAACAAGGTTCTGACTTTAGCTAGTAACGAGAGAATAGCTTTGACTCCTGTGATGAGGCTGCTCTTCGAGATCTCTAATTTGAGAACTGCTACTCCAGCTACTGTATCCAGAGCGGGGATTTTGTATATCAATCCTCAGGATCTAGGCTGGAATCCTTACGTCACGAGCTGGGTGGAGAAAAGAACGTCGCCAATTGAAAAATCCAATTTGGTTATGTTATTTGACAAGTACATCCCTGCTTGCTTGGAAACGTTAAGAACAAGATTCAAAAAGATAACACCGATCGCAGATATGGCGCACGTACAGATGCTATGTCATCTTCTTCACTGTCTTCTCAAGCCAGAATTAACCTCCGCTGATTTTTTGAAGGAACATTATGAACTCTACTTTGTTTTCGCTGCCGTCTGGGCTTTTGGTTCCTCGATGTTCCAAGATCAAACGATAGATTATCGCGTGGAATTTAGTAAGTGGTGGATAAATGAATTTAAACAGATTAAGTTTCCCTCGCAAGGCACCGTGTTTGATTATTATATAGACTCTGAGACAAAGAACTTCGTTCCATGGTCTCAGCGTTTGCCAAAGTTCGAATTGGACCCTGAACTGCCTCTGCAAGCTGTTTTGGTTTACACTGCCGAGTCTATTCGAATTAGGTACTTCTTAGATTTATTAATGGCCGAGAAACATCCAGTGATGTTAGTTGGAACAGCTGGTTGCGGGAAGACTGTTCTCGTAGCAGAGAAACTTCTACAATTACCTGAAAATTACACAGTATCCAATGTACCCTTTAATTTTTACACTTCTTCGGAGATGCTGCAGAAAATTCTGGAGAAGTCTCTGGAGAAGAAAGCTGGTAGAAATTACGGCCCACCTGGGAATAAAGCCTTGGTGTATTTCATCGATGATTTGAATATGCCAGAAGTTGACGCTTATGGAACCGTCCAACCGCATACTTTGATCCGTCAGCATTTGGATTACGGTCACTGGTACGATAGAACGAAGCTAACTCTGAAAGATATTCACAACTGTCAATACGTTAGCTGTATGAATCCTACGGCTGGATCTTTCACCGTCAATCCTAGACTGCAGAGACACTTTTCCGTGTTTGCGGTCAGTTTTCCTAACAGCGATTCGTTGACGACTATTTATTCGTCTATCTTGAGGCAGCATTTGTCCAACATCGAACACAGGTAAGCTTCGAAAATAAATTATTATATGAAGCGAAGCAGTACAACAAAATGAAACAACTAAGTATCTTCGTTGTTCGATCATTGTATGATAATTAATGCATTTCATAGGTTTCCCATTTCTGTCGTCGAAATGTGTAACAGTATTGTTCAAGCGTCGATTCAGCTCCATCATCGTTGCGCTCAAATGTTCCTCCCAACAGCAGTGAAATTCCATTATATCTTCAATCTTCGTGACTTGTCAAACTGCTTTCAAGGATTATTATTCAGTGGGAACGAGTGTCTACAGTCTTCTATAGACTTAATCAGATTATGGCTCCACGAGACGCATCGCGTTTACGGAGATAAGCTTACAGATGAAAAGGACATAGAGAGCTTTTCTAAACTACAATTGGATATTTTGAAGAAGAACGTGGAGGAAATTGACGAGGGTGCCATTTTGGAGAAGCCTAATATCTACTGTCATTTTGCAGGTGCGCAAATGCTTGGAAATATTTCGCTAAAAATCGCGTACCACTTGGATCTCAAACATGCCACGAGAAAGAAAAAGTTGAATAAATTTGTTATATTGCAAGGTGGAGTCGGAGAGCCAAAGTACATGCCGGTGAAGGACTGGGCAACTCTGCATCGATTGCTATCGGAAGCAATGGTCAGCTACAACGATCTGGTAGCTGCTATGAATCTGGTGCTGTTCGAGGACGCCATGATGCACGTGTGCCGGATAAACAGGATCTTGGAGTCGCCTCGAGGCAGCGCTCTCCTCGTCGGTGTGGGAGGTTCTGGCAAACAAAGCTTGTCACGATTGGCTGCTTTCATAAGCTCGCTGGAGGTATTCCAAATTCAGTTGAAGAAGGGTTATGGAATCGTCGATCTGAAATTGGAGCTCGCTGTTCTGTATAACAAGTCGGGTTTGAAGAATCTGGGCATCGTGTTTTTGATGACCGACGCCCAAGTGGCGAACGAACAATTCCTCGTGCTGATCAACGACATGCTTGCTTCTGGCGAGGTTCCAGATCTCTTCGCCGAGGACGAAGTGGAGAACATAATAGCAGGTCGATGAATATTTCAGGTTGTTTGTTTTTTCTTCCGGAACAAGGATCATCAACTTCAAAATCCCTGTGATTCAACTCGTTCCTTTTTTCTCTTTTTTTTTTCTTTAAACCACTCCAAACTAATTTCTATTCGAAACACGATGCCTAAGTCATTCGTTTACTTTTATCTTTTTACAATAAGGATTATCACGTACATAAAATTCGTACGATTTAATTTGCTAAAGTATTTTTCGACGATCGATATACTCGGTCGCAGGAGTTCGTAACGAGGTGAAGGGCGCTGGTATGTTAGATACCCGCGAGAATTGTTGGAAGTTCTTCATCGACCGGGTGCGCCGCCAGCTTCGGATAGTTCTCTGCTTCTCCCCTGTCGGATCCACTTTAAGGATTCGCTCGAGGAAATTCCCGGCCATAATAAATTGCACGGCGATAAACTGGTTCCACGAATGGCCGCAAGAAGCTTTGATGTCTGTGTCGAAGAGGTTTCTGCAGGAGTTAGACGAACTTCCGGAAAATTACAGGTAGAGCGGAGAATATCGATCGGGACGCCCCTGAAACGCGTGGTACGCGCCTTCAATAGCGGAGAGGATGCTGAGCAATAAATATACGGATGCTTTCGATGCAGGGAGGCTGCGGCGAAATTTATGGCCCACGCTCACACGACCGTCAACGCAGCCAGCAGACATTATTTGGCCAGCGAGCGCCGATACAACTATACCACACCAAAGTCCTTTCTCGAGCAGATCAGTTTGTACACTAGATTGTTGAAAACGAAGGCTTGCGAGCTTCGTGGTCGTGTAGCTAGGCTGGAGAACGGTTTGGAAAAGCTTCGTTCGACTGCGGTACAGGTGGATAAATTGAAAGAGAAACTGGCGATGCAAGAGGTAGAATTGCAACAGAAGAACGACGCAGCCGATGCTCTGATCGCCATTGTTGGTATCGAGACGGACAAAGTACAAAAGGAGAAGGCTATAGGTAAATCCTTTAGGTAAACCAGTACCTTTTGCTCGTATTTCACGTTTTGTGTTTCGTATAGCGGACGAGGAAGAGTCGAAGGTTGCTATAATAGCTGAAGAGGTATCGAAGAAACAGAGGGACTGCGAAGTGGACTTGATGAAGGCAGAACCGGCTCTCTTGGCTGCCCAAGAGGCTCTGAATACACTGAACAAGGCGAATCTGACGGAATTGAAGTCGTTTGGTTCGCCACCAGGTGCTGTAACGAACGTAACTGCCGCTGTGATGGTTCTCTTGGCTCCAGCTGGGAAAATACCCAAGGACAGGAGCTGGAAGGCTGCCAAGGTACTTGGAACAAGGTCATCGCTAGTCCGTGCTCGACCGTACATCTAAGTTGGATAGTTATAAACGCATAGAACGGACTATAGTATCAAGATTTCTCAAAATCTTTTGGCCGGAAATCTTTAGTCCACCATCACCGCTGTCTTTTTCTGTATTATTTTTGCATATTCCTTTGAAAACTTACTTTCCGAGCTAATTTGCCTCGAGAGAAGTTCAGAAATACGCGAGAAAATCACGAAGGAAAAAATCACTGCGAGTTTTAGCGAATTATATCACTCTGCGTGAGATTGTTTCATCCGCGTTGTTTCTTCAGATCATGATGGCGAAGGTCGACACGTTTTTGGACTCCCTAATCAACTACGACAAAGAAAATATACATCCGGAAGTAATCAAGGCGATCCAACCGTATCTAAAAGACTCCGAATTCGAGCCAGAATTCGTGAGATCGAAATCAGCGGCAGCTGCGGGTCTCTGTGCCTGGGTGATCAACATTATCAAGTTTTACGAGGTGTTCTGCGATGTGGAGCCAAAGAGGAAAGCGTTGGCACAGGCGAACGCAGATTTGGCCGCTGCTCAGGAGAAGTTAAGCGTGATCAAACGCAAAGTTGTTGTACGTAAACTCTGTTAAACGTGATTCCGAACAAGTTTAGTTAGAGTGCTGTTTCTGGAACAGTCGTTGGAAGAGCAATTGGCGAAGCTGACGGCGGACTTCGAGCAGGCAACGTCCGAGAAGCTCAAGTGTCAACAAGAGGCGGACGCGACCAACGCTACGATTGCTCTGGCTAACAGATTGGTCGGTGGGTTGGCCTCGGAAAATATACGATGGGCGGATTCCGTAGCCAAGTACGTGCAAAATTATAGCCATATATGGCTAATTTAACAAATTCTAAAAGTTTCAAGCGCTTGGTAATACCCAAGGTGTATGTCTAATTTTCTGTAGACGTCTTAACACTTACGAACACTATTATACAGATCCTTTAAAGAAAAAATTCTAAAGTTTCATGCAACAAACGTCCACCCTACCCGGTGACGTTCTCCTGGTGACATCGTTCATATCTTACGTGGGATGTTTCACGAAACAATTTCGTCAGGATCTGCTACACAAGCAATGGCTACCGTTTTTACGTAACGTAGAACCGACGGTTCCAATCACGGAGGGGCTGGACCCTCTGTCGTTACTGACGAACGACACACAGATAGCCAAGTGGAACAACGAAGGACTTCCAAACGATAGAATGTCGACGGAAAACGCAACTATTCTGACGAGTTCCGACCGATGGCCCTTAATGATCGACCCTCAGGTATAGGTCTATCTGTCACGAGGTCGCCTAACGTCACTCGGATCTCCATCATTATTTTTCCTTAGCTGCAGGGAATTAAATGGATCAAGCAGAAATACGGGGAGGAACTTCGCGTCATTAGGCTCGGGCAGAAGGGTTACTTGGATGTCATCGAGCAATGTCTAGCAACCGGGTCGACCGTGCTCGTCGAGAACATCGGCGAAACGGTCGATCCGGTGTTGGATCCACTGTTAGGCAGAAACTTGATTAAGAAGGGTCGGGCGATTAAGATCGGCGACAAGGAGGTCGAATACAATCCGCTGTTCAGATTATTATTGCACACGAAGCTGGCTAATCCCCATTACAAGCCCGAGATGCAGGCTCAAACTACTCTAATTAATTTCACGGTAACGAGGGACGGTCTCGAGGATCAATTACTAGCGGAGGTAGTGAAAGCCGAGCGACCGGATCTCGAGGAGTTGAAGGCTGAGCTCACCAGACAGCAGAACGATTTCAAGATTACGCTCAACAGTTTGGAAGATTCCCTTTTATCGAGGTACGTTGCTCGTTCGACCTTTCACAACAATTTCCATTTCCTTTGCTCTCAGCGTCAGTGTTTCCCAACCTTTTCTCAGTCATCACTCCCTTCCGTATTACCCAGATAACCCGAGACCCTCCCTTCTATGTAATTATGTGCCAAGATTACCGATAAAAACGCGATAAGTATATTTTTATCGATTACTTTGTTTTACTGTCGTTTTACGATTAAAAAGGAAACATTATCGTCTATTCCCCCCTTCTGATCTTCTTATAGAAAGTGGTACACAGGTTGGGAACTCGAATTCTATATTTAGCCCCTCTATCCTCTTGTTTTCGTCTTGTTTCTCAGCGAATTTCAAAGGATTCATAGCGATGGAAATACAATACGATTTGATACGATAAAATAACAATTTCGTGGACAGATTGTCTTCAGCGGGCAGCAACGTTTTAGAGGACACGTCGTTGGTGGAAAATCTGGAGACGACGAAGAGGACCGCGGCAGAAATCGAGTCGAAGGTGACGGAAGCCCGCGGCACAAGCCGTGAGATCGACGCCGCGAGAGAATTGTATCGACCAGCGGCAGCCAGAGCTTCTCTCCTCTACTTCATCCTGAACGATCTGAACACCATCAATCCAATCTATCAATTTTCCTTGAAAGCTTTCAGCGTGGTGTTTCAAAAAGCCATCTCGAAGGCCGATCCCGCCCCAGACGTGTCCGCGAGAGTGAAGAATCTGATCGAGTGCATCACCTATTCCGTGTTCATGTACACTAGCAGAGGGTTGTTCGAGTGCGACAAACTGATCTTCGCGTCGCAGATGGCGTTTCAGATACTACTCGCTAGGAACGAGGTGACTGCAGCAGAGTTGGACTTCCTCTTACGGTTCCCCATCACGCCGCACGTTACATCCCCCGTTGATTTCCTTTCCAATATCAGCTGGGGTGGAATTAGGAGTCTCGCTAGCAGAGAAGAATTTCGGTAATCGAAATTTCACGTACTCTTTTAACTTAAATCGTCCGTAACAAGTTAAAAATCGTAATGATGCAAGTAAAAATTAGGAGAATTTAGACTTCATCGGAAATTCCAACTTTTGAACGAGCAGTGTTAACGATTTAGTTCCATTTGATTGGTGGCGTTATAGCTTTATTTTTATTTTTATTTTGTAATAAAGTAATACGATAGCGTAATAATAAACGAAAGTCAAAATATTGAGAATTTGGAAATATCGTTACTGGTTGCGTACGGTGATGTTTCTTTTGCGCAGCAATTTAGACAGAGACATAGAGACTTCGGCAAAGAGATGGAAAAAATTGGTGGAATGCGAATGTCCGGAACGAGAGAAATTCCCGCAAGAATGGAAGAACAAAACGACTATTCAGCGTCTGTGCATGCTCAGGGCACTGCGACCCGATAGAATGACCTACGCAATCGCAGCATTCATCGAAGAGAAGCTTGGTCCAAGGTATATCGAAGGTAGAACCGTCGAGTTCGCAAAATCTTACGAAGAAACCAGCCCTTCTACGCCCATCTTCTTTATCCTTTCTCCTGGCGTGAATCCTTTGAAGGTAATGGAACATTTCCGGAATGAACAAAAGCATTCACCTTGTCCCACAACTTTCACGTGGCAAACCTATGAATTTTCATTTAATCAGGATGTAGAGGACCTGGGTCGTCGCTTGGGTTACACGTTGGATAATCAAAATTTCCACAACGTGTCGCTGGGTCAGGGACAGGAATCCGTTGCAGAAGAAGCTATGGACGTGGCCGCGAAGAACGGCCATTGGGTGATTTTGCAGAATATTCATTTGGTGAAAAAATGGCTGCCATTGTTGGAAAAGAAATTAGAAATGGCCGCAGAGGGCTCGCACGAGAATTACAGGGTGTTCATGAGTGCGGAACCAGCTAGTACACCAGCAGGACACATCATTCCTCAAGTAACATTTTATGCTTAATATCGTTGTGTCCTCGAGCACGAATATATGGTCGTAGGAGATAAAGTTCGAGAGTATATAAAAAGCTGCAAGTTCACCGAGTTTTCGGCTCGAGACACAACGATATGGAATTTGATGCTGTAAAACACTAAGAGGTTAATGAAAGATTAATTAGGGAATCCTCGAGTCGTCCATTAAGATTACGAACGAACCACCCACGGGGATGCAGGCGAATCTGCACAAAGCTCTGGACAATTTCACCCAAGAGACGTTGGAGATGTGCAGCAAGGAGGCAGAGTTCAAGGCCATTCTATTTTCCCTCTGTTACTTCCACGCGGTGGTCGCGGAGCGCCGGAAATTCGGCCCACAGGGCTGGAATAAAATCTATCCCTTCAACGTAGGCGATCTTCACATCAGTGTCAGCGTGTTGTACAATTATTTGGAAGCTACGTCGAAGGTGCCTTGGGAGGATTTGAGGTCCGTCTCGATTTCTTTAGTTATTTTTCAGCAGATTGAACAATTCTAACCGGTCGTTTGTCACATTCTTTTCACAACGCACTCGTGCACATTCGTAAAGGTATCTTTTCGGCGAAATTATGTACGGCGGGCATATAACCGACGACTGGGACAGAAGGCTGTGTGTCTCCTATCTCGAAGAATTAATGCAACCCGAATTGGTCGACGGAGAGTTGCACTTAGCGCCAGGTAACAAGTTTCTCGTTAGAGTTCGAGCATTTTTATCGATGGTTCTTCTCGTAATTGGAGAGCAATTAACGATTTAAATATTACAAAGGATTCCCAGCGCCACCGAATACAGATTTAGCCGGTTACCATGCCTACATCGACGAAGCGATGCCTGCGGAATCACCCTATTTGTACGGTCTACACCCAAATGCTGAAATAGGTTTCTTAACGATGACTGCGGAGAATCTCTTTAAAACCGTCTTTGAGATGCAACCGAGGGACGCGGGTAGCTCTGGAGGACAAACAGTGACCAGGGAAGAAAAGGTAGTCGTTTAATCTGTTCCATATTAACCATCAGACGATAACTTCGCTGTGTTGAAAGGTGAAGCAAATACTGGACGAAATAATGGAGAAACTTCCAGAGGAGTTCAACATGGCCGAAATAATGGGCAAAGTGGAAGAAAGGACTCCGTACGTGATCGTAGCATTCCAAGAGTGCGAACGAATGAATCATCTGACCACGGAAATAAAACGGTCGTTGCGTGAACTGGATTTAGGCCTGAAGGGAGAGCTAACGATCACTTCAGATATGGAGGACTTGGAAAACGCGTTGTTCCTTGACCAAGTGCCACCTGTTTGGGCTCAAAGGGCTTATCCGTCTTTATTAGGACTGGCAGCTTGGTTCGTCGACCTGCTACTACGGATCAGAGAATTGGAAACGTGGTCCACTGACTTTGTCGTAAGATAGGGAAATAAAAGGATAACCGATACGTTAAAGTTACCGTTATTACGAATGAATTATCGTTTCAGTTGCCACCATCGGTCTGGTTGGCCGGATTCTTCAATCCTCAGTCGTTGCTTACGGCCATCATGCAATCAACAGCTAGGAGACAGGAACTTCCGCTTGATAAAATGTGCTTGCAATGCGACGTGACGAAGAAGAACAAGGAGGAGTTCACGTGCGTGAATTTCATTTTATTTATTTGGAATTTAGAATTACCAATGAATTAAGTTGGTTGATCTGATCGTTTCAAGGCACAAATTTTTAATACATTAAATTATTTAACCGTTCTTCGTAAAAAACGACTGAAGAAAAAAGGAACGGAAACTGAACGAGATCGTTGCACGGGCAATTATGTTTAAAATTGCTTATTTCAAGTTCTTCGTCATTTTACCACCCTTTCGAAGGGTCAACGTTGACTGTTGTCTTTTTTATATATCAGGGCAGCTCCCAGAGACGGTGCATATATTCATGGGATATTTATGGAGGGAGCACGATGGGACGTGCAGTCTGGCATTTTAGTCGATTCGAAACCGAAAGAACTGTTTCCTGTGATGCCGGTGATCAACGTAAGAGCGATTACACAAGATAAACAGGACTTGAGGAATATGTACGAGTGTCCTGTTTATAAAACGAGAACTCGAGGACCTACCTACGTGTGGACTTTCAATTTGAAGACCAAAGATAAGGCTGCAAAGTGGACGTTGGCAGGTGTAGCGTTGTTACTTCAAACCTGAATACTTGTAAAATACCGATGACGAGAGTTTCTACGAATAAATAATTAGGACAGTAGAGAGTGAATAAAATTTGCGATGTAGATTTTAGTAGAAGATTTTAATAGAGGCGCGTAAAAAGGAAACCCCAAACAGCGATTCATTCCCATAAATAAAGGCCGGGCAATTGCGGCGAAGAAAGGAGAGAATAATTCGAGCGTGAATCTCGAAGGACCTATCGAACGAAGCAGGATATCACGGGATGGGCTAATCGGCCGAGAGTTAATAAACCGTAAGACGATAGAAAATCGACGCGGTGGATCGTTCGGTTTCCGTTTCGTTCGAGGGACAAAGTATTCCGTGATCCGTGGAAGAGGAAGAAATTATCCGTTATTCGACGAAACAAAAGGTCCCTCGAAGGTTTGCCCTTCGAAAGGATCGATACTCGCGGCTCCAGAGACAAAACAGGACCGTGTACGAAACGTTGGTCAATTTAATATACGAGGCAGAAAAGAGGGAGCGAAGGGTCGGAGAAAGAAAAAGGAAGGGAAAACGGCATGGAGCGAGCCTTGTAAAGGTGAAAACGCATAGAGGATACAAGGTTTGCCCACCTCGGGGACATAAAAGCTTTCAGATTGCGGCACGGGATCAAAATTGTATCGTGTTAGCGAGAGAAATTAGATTTCCTTTCCGCGGGAACGTCGAACCGCGCGCAAGCAGAAACGATCTCTTTCTTCCGCGAGCGGAGAATGGAATCCTATCAAATATGCAGAGGTTATTAGCTCTCGAAGGAGAACGGAAAAATGTTTACCCTCCAACTTTCCCCAGGTTCCACCGTTTCTGGCTGGATTTTATCCAGCCTTTCGTCAAGCCTCCCTTTAAAACACAGGGACGATAAACTCTTGTTGATCAACTTGTTAACTAATGCAGGCGCGTCGCTTGTCTCCAACCGTTTCTTTCTCCGGGAACTGTGGATTCTTTAATGCGGCAAGTTTCCTTTGAAAGTCTGCTCTTTCGAAGATAACGAGCTACGTTTTAAAGTTCCTGTTTAAAGTACCAAATTTTCATCCGCTTCACAGTCCCGCCTCATAAACTTTTTATAAGGGCTGATCAGAAACTAAGGTTCCCTCGGTAATAGTCCCTCGTATGTTAATTTAGCTTTCTTGTTCGTAGAAATTATTTGTGTCTCAAAGCGTTTAACGAGTACAACTCGAATCGTCGATTATTTATTTCCAGTACTTTCTAACGACGACGTAGCTTGAGACACGGTCCCGTATATAGGTTCTTAAGAAACGGTTGAATATCTTTGATCGAATGAAAAGAAATACGTAGTTTCTTCGAACAGGAAATTCTTTCGAAATAAGAGACAGTTTGCTCTAATTAAGAAAAGCAAAATTAGTTTACACCGGTTGCACGATATATGTCGTACTATTTCTCGAAAGATATAAATTCAAGTAGTTGTACTCGTGTTTCGATCTATGCTACAATAAATTTTATACGAGTGCACCGAGAATAAATTCTACTTGTAGGACGTATCAACGTTATAAACGTTTGTTTAACCCGATACAAAAGTAAAGTTGAAGTCCGATGGTGCGTATCCCGCGCAGAGTCAACTCACGAGTCCCATCGAACCAAAGGGAGAGAGGAAAAAAGTGTCGGTCCCTTGCAGAGAGGTCGGTGATTGGCTGCCAAACACCCTCTTCGTGATTCCTGTCGATCGATTGGCCCCACTGCATCGGCTTCAATCACGCTTTTCATTAAGCCTCGCCGGACAACGGCGACTAAAAGAGAAAGAGAGAAACCGAGATCGAATGTCCGGCTTTCGTGCGTCAACCGGAGGAAGCTGCTTTCGTGGCGTTTCCACTTTCGACATCGATCACGGGAGAAACTTCGACCGATTAAAGATCAACCACTCGTTGCGATCGATCTTCTCCTATCTAGCATTCGTCCTATCACCTGTACAATTTCCTCGTTCAAAGATAAGTACTTTTAAAATCTTAAAATGGCGAGAAGCAGAAGGAGGAGGGAACAGCGCTCGATTAACTTCCGCATATCGAGTCGAAGGATGAGTTCATTCGTTTTTCATTAACGTATACATTTCGGAGAATGTTGTAGAAATTCTCGAAGAAAGGCGAAGATACGCGTACGCGATCTTTTTCCGAGTTAATTCTTCGGTTAATTTCCGCGTGTAATAAAGAAACAGAGGAATAAAACGAAGTCGACAATTTTCGAGGAACGAGAGGAAAATTTTCACCGATTGTTGCTGCTGGATTTTAAAACGGAATATCGTTGGGAAATTGATTAGGCGTGGGATATCGGTCTGGCCGTAAAACCGCGATTAATTTCCGGCTAAAACGTATCCCGACGACAGCTTAACGAGGCAATTTAACATCGAGTCGAACGATTACGCTACACACGAGCATCGGAACGCATTTCGGAGGGTATCTCGCGTATAATGAGCGATCGATATTCGGAGAATATAATAAGGACGCAGAAGTCGAGAAGCCTGCAAGAACCGGGAGTTCCTCTTTGTCAAAGAATTCTTGCCAACCGGTAATCTTCCCCTCGGAATGCTAATTTGGCTGGCGTGGTTGGATCGTCGAGGCTCTCGCCCTCGCGACTTTCGAATTTAATTCGCAGGAAATTCCTGCCTTCGAACGGATTTCGTAGTGTACACGCACGTGGCTGTTTCGTGTATTTCGCATCCGCTTAGAACGCGATCGTTAACGGTGGTTGCTCGTTAACGTGACAAATCGCTTGTCAAGACGACGTGTCGCGCCTCTCTGCCTCCTATGCTTTGGATTAACCTTTGTCCTCGTCTCCGTGATTCTATTGATCGACCTTCGACGATCGGGTTTTAGATACATACATTTTACTACACCCAAGTGAAATCACAATTTGATATGTTGACACGTATTGATGAGTTTAATAAATAGAACATCAGCCTCTAAAAGATTACGGGATACGCCGTCGTTCTTGGCGAACACGTCCTCTATCTATCGTTCCGAAAAATACTATTTCGCGTATAATGTGACTTTACTCGAAAGATAGGAAACACGTGGAACCTTCAACGTATTTGAAGATATCTCAACGTATGTTAGAAAACGAGGATAAACCATAACGTTTCTCGCGCCTAGTGCTTCATGAAAATTAAAGAAAGATTTCATCCTTTCTAAACTACTGTAGTGATGTGCCTCTGAATAAATTAAAAGTAAAATACATTAAGGGACTTCTCAGTGACTATAATTTATGTGGAAAGTACATTTTAAACGCAGGAGTCATAGGCTTAAATAGCGGAAAATGTAGATCGTAATAAAACCATCTTGCTGTGGCACAGGAATCCTAATTTACCATATTTAGAGCGCAACGACGCTGCTTACGTATGTACCCCAGCAGCCTGTCTAAGAAGGGTAATTCTAGCCACGGTTGAAATCATTAAAAATGAGCGGTTAGGAAGAGTTAACGACGCCTTTAGCCATCGTAAAAGCCGAGCTACGTTCATTTTTCATCGAGGACGTCACTATGGGCCTGCGACTCGTTTCTTCAGTCAGGTTAATCATTTTTAAAGAGCCGACCGCAGGTGTCCCTTCTCGTGATCTTATATTAAACAAAGAGAGGGACGGAGAAAAGAAAAGAAAGGAACGACGAAGGGTTCGAATTTCGTAGGCATACGAGCGAGGTGGTTTCCGACTGAGAATTAAATTTTCCGCGAGAGAGGGAAATCCCCTGCGTAGAGACAAGCAGCAGCGAAATAATGAAACGAACGGGCTGGCACAACTTGCTTTGCATACGAGTGACATTTTTCACGTCTGTCAAGAATCTGACGCGACCCGGTGCTCCCCTATCCGAAATTAGAGAAGCGTCTCTCGCGATCCATGCCACCGATTACCGCCCTCCAAACCCGCTTCCACTGTGAAAAACGCCAACAGTGCGCGCTCCTGCATTTTTTCCTTTACTTTATTCAAGGGAGGAAGATATTGGGGGTTAGGCTCCACTTGACAAATCAACGAAATCTTCCCGGTGTCCTGGTTACGCTTCTCGAGGTTCAGAAAGTTCGACACTTACGCGCAAGCGCAAAGGTATACGTAAATCGCGAGACCAATAACTCGGTACCTTTCGTTAAAAATCTCTCTTACCTTTCCCTTCCACGTGAAAAACATAAATGTACGGTAGGTTTCTTGACTCGACTTCGACCCATCGTACGTTCGATAAACATTTTGTTTTATTCGTTGAAGCGCAACAGCAATGTCTCGCTAAAGCGCCAGTGAAATTCCAAAATTTGTTATACAACGCATACAATGTGGACAGTTCTACGCTAAGCGTCCAAATACTTTCGTGAAATTACGTAGGTTAACGTTGCAAACTAAAATATGTAAAAAGATACCAGTACGTATCTAGCCTCGTTATTACATGGACGACGATCGTTAATTCTCTTTATATGCGTTACATTCTGCCTGATGTCTAAACGCCGGTGGATACCTGAAGAATAATAGTCAGGTATCCAGGCATGTCCGCCATAACTCTTACCCTTACCCCCGTGAATTTCCTCGCTAATGTTGTGCCAACAGCGAGAATTTTTTTCCTCTCTCTCTTTCGTCGCGAGCACCCGCCACCGATAAATTCGTCGCCCTTCGTCACCGCCTATCCTACGTTTTCGAGCGCCACCCTCTCCGGTGGCGCATATTAATCGTCGCGGATGCAACGGTTCCACGCGATAGCTTTTTGTCTCGAATTTGCCGCATTGCAGGCCGCGATTCATCGAGCGAGCCACTTCCCTTCCGATTCTCCATGGGAATCGAGTTACAAGAGGGAGAAAAATTGAAAAAGATAGGGGGAGAATCTTTGCAATTAAGCGTAACTTATTTATAGACCAAGCTGTCGAGGTCCGCTTTGCGAAATCAAAGGTGCAAAGCCTTCGCAGACGAAGCGGAATCGGAGGAAAATTAATGAAACATCGAGGAAAGGGTC